CAAGTGTGTGTGCTCACCTTAGATTTCTGAAATAGTTCAGGTTTCCCCTTTCTTTTTTTTAATTTTCATTTTTTATTCGGTGTAAACACCGAGACTAGTCCATTTATTTCCCTCAAGGTTTATTGTTATCATTGCTTGGGTTTAATAAGCAGTGATTAACAGTTGAAAATGTGCCAGGATATTTTCGTTTCTAGTCAATCTAGGTTGCAATGGTTTAGCAGGTGTTTTCTTTTTGCGTGGCCAAGAAATAACACAGAGTTGACAAATAAGCAATGCAGTGCATATAAAAATTATTCACACCCTTACTGCGCGGTCGAAGCCTAACCGAACAACACTGTTCACGAGAAAACGTAAACAGTTAAATTTCATAACGCGACCACTAATTAAACTGGCTTTGAAAAATAAGTCTTCAGTACTCCGACCAAAGATAAGTATTTGTGAATAATGTTTGCAAACTGCCAGCTGGCGTTTTACCCATGCAGTACTGAAATCAAGATTGGTACGTCCCAAATATGAAAGAGAAATTTCGAAAAGCGTCGTCTGATGAAATGGCGTTTTTTAATCATTTGTAGTTGCTGTGCAGCTCAAAATGAAGAATACTAATTAATTGTAAATTGCATTAATAGTTTCATTTACTGCAGAAATGTGATTTTTATCGCAAACGGCGATTGCTTTTCAAAGTTATAACACATGCAATGATAAAATGCTGTGTTTGACATTTTTAATTTTCTTGACGTTTATACATGCCTCAGATAACCGCAGCAAAAACATATCGGGTATTTCACAAAGAGAATTAACAATTCATATTTCTTAAAAACACACACACAAATAGTTTCAATAACAACGATTTCTAAATTCATTCAAGTGTTACTAGGTGCAGCGTTTTTTTTTTTTTTTATTAAACCAGATAAACCAGGAGAAACTTGAGGCAGCTGAATAAATGATGGAACTTCGTTTTCAAGGAAAGCAATTGGAGTCAATAAATAAGCATTACCAGTCAACCAAAATAAACACAGTTTATTTCTCAATTTACGTCTTAATTTTCTTCGAAATTGAAAAAAGTGTAGTATACCAGAAATCGATGACTACTTAGTACTGGTTCGTTTAAAAGAACTTGTCTCTCAAAAAAAGGAATATTTCCCCAGGTGTAGTTTATTTGCATTTATATACTAATGCATCATGATCGGCGATTGCACCTCTGAGCCATCATTTATCACGGGGCGAGAAAATAACTTGTTACAGAGAAAACTGCACGCTAGTTTTCCTTCATTCTGAAATAATGATTAAAATGATCATTTACTTCTTCCTGTTAAAATTGCGAGCAATTTCAGGGGGCGCCTCATGCGACATATAACATGGCAACCCTAATGTATGTCGCAATCATCCAAAACCACTTACTTTCATTATATGAGTCGACACAACTTTAAGTGAAACTAGAGAAAGTGGTTACGATCCGGTTTTTTGTACTTCGAAATTACTTTTGATACCATGGAACAAAACGTATACACGAAAATCTAGCATCGGAAATGATTTGCGTTCAAAGGGAAAATGTTCTCCATATGATCTCGGAGGCCTTGTATTTGCTTAACTTCTCGCTGAGCTGACGTTGTCCTCTAAACATCCGTGGGATTGCTCTAAATTGGATCTTAGTTCGATTTATTTCATTCTGCCCTATAAGATTTTTTTCTTTTGCGACTCTGTCGTTTTGTCACTTGGAAACAATTCTTTCAAATCGTATTTCACTGGTCTCTCAATGTATAGACATACTAGTAGTGAGAAAAGTAAAATCTTTGTTGGCAGCTTGAAAACATCATCAGGGGTGAAGGCAGTGTGGCGTCCTCTTCCAATAAAGGAGGAAATAGTGACTTTTTCGCATTGTCTACAGATAATCTCAATGGTTTTTATTATTCATGATTTTGGTAGGAATCTAAGTCTTTTGACAAAACTGCAATGAAATAAAGCGGAAAAAAATCGAGAAGCAGTTGAGCTAGAGATTCGGGGTTGAAATTGACAATAATGTGGAGTGATTTAAAATAATAGCGCCCCGGAATAAAGGTCTTCCTTTGCGTCATGGTATTGTTATTCTGGAAAATCTATTTTCTACAATCATAACTTTGCTGTGAAGCAAAAGTGAGTAACAACGCCAGAAAAGTGTCTCACATTCAAACACAGCTCGTAAACTTCAGGTTTTTTTCTCTTTATAAAAAATTTGCCATGTTTATCAGACTCTATTTTCTGTTTTTAAATATCATATCAAAGGCTTTGATATGATATTCAAAAATAGGGCTTCACGCATCTGTTTATACCTTTTGGTTAAAAGTAAGTTTTCGATTCAGTCAAAACAGAATTCGAATTAGACATCTTTTCACAAATAAAAAAATGTCTAAAAAGATCTTTATTCCGAAACTTCTCTTATCGCGGTCTGCTGGGCTAAGTTTTAAATGTAATGTACTCATATGTGACGATAATGACTTGATGGCAATCAATTACCCCTCCCCCCTCCCTCCCCCCATAGCGACTACAGTATGTTGTCGTCATGTAGTTTGATTATTTTTCATCGTGGAAGTGTCGTGTCGTTCGGCTTCATTAGTGCCGGCTATACACCACTTTCATAAATGGCTGCCGGATTGATATTCTTTTGTTTAAATTCAAATTAGCCTCACTAGCTTCGCTTGAGATAATGCATTCTTTTGAATTTTGAACTGGAGAACGAGGCCAGAAAGACTAATTTAAATTTAAACAAAAGATTATCAATCCGGCAGCCATTTTTGAAAGTGGTCAATTATATAGCTGATATTGAGATCATCACACTAAAATAAAGCTCGGTTCAACGTTGCTATTGGAAATCTACTAAGACTGTCTCAACTGATCTAAAATAGTAGAAAAGGATTCCTGATACCTGCAATAATTTGGTTCTAAAACAACTGAATGAACCGTGTTCCATTAACTGAAAGCTTCAAGTTCGAGCTATTTTAAGTCATCAGGAAGTCAAAAGACTTCCTTCAGGTTAAAACTCTGGCTGCGAATATTGATCAAAGGAAGTTAACCGTCAGGTAGACTGTGCAAAATACATATTTATAGCACCGGAAATTCATAATACAGTAAATTAATCTTGGCGAGAAACAGCTGTAGACATCGAAAAGTTATTTTGTCACTCGATTCAACAGATCCTTCACCTTTAGACGTCGCAAACTCTCTGTAAAATCAGTAGGATCTCATGTTAAAATTATCAAAGCAAATCAACATATTCTCTCTGAAAGCAAAACAGACCCTTTTTAATGTTTACATAGGCTAGAAAAACAACCTTATGAGAAGCTTAGTTTTCTTAAATGTAAATTGAAAAAGCAAAGGAACTTTCCAACAATTTCAGCAGAAAACACATCAATCATTGTTTACAGTATTTAAAAAATTATATCTTAACCTTGGGGGCTACCTTCATGCAATAAAATAGAAACCTGCGTTTTTCAAATATATATTATTCTAGCGAAATATTTGAGACAATAACTGGAACAAGATTTTTGCAAAACAGAACACTGCCTTTAATATTCAATCTCTCTATTTTTTAATTTCAATAAGATTCTCTCTAAGGATGTCATCTGAAGAGCGACGGAAATTCGCTGCTTTTCCTCAGCCTTAATATTGCTAGAATACAAACTCTTCAGACAATTATTCAATTTCTCAAATTCACCTTTATAAGAAAACACACATCACGTTTCCTAGAGGTAAAATTTCCTTACTCTGAGAGGAAGTCCGTCGACGCGGCACTTGAATAAAGGAAATTTTTTTAATTTTACCATCTGGATAAAAGGGCTTTGAAAAACTTTGATTTTATACGGCTTCTTGACAGTTCCGCTTTTTAAAAATATTTAATTATGGAAAGATCAAGTTTCAGTCCGTGACATCGGAGCTAGAGAACTGAAATAACCTTACACTTATCCCTAAGGCAAACGCATAAGGTACAGGAAGAGCTATTTTTTACCTTTCTTAAAGCTTTAGGATCCGGATAGAAAGAGTCGAAGACATTTCGCAAATTAAGCAAGGATATTTCAATCTTGATAAAGTAAAGTTACGGAAATTTCCAAGAGATTTTTTTTATATTTCTGTGACTATATACTCCTGTTTTCGTGATCTACTGGAAAAGGAAATTTAAATTAGTTAATTGTAAATCAGATAGCTAAAAATTGAAGTATTTTAAGTGATGTATGCCTATACTCTAATGTACTCTTCCGACTAGAGCTCACTGTTGAGGGAATTCTGAAAATAAAAAAATAAAGGCCCAATTTTCACTGATAATTACTGAAACAGGAAGAGTTAATGGAAATCACATCTAGAAAGAATACGTATGATGCACGATCCTTCGCAGTAGATAGCGCTATTTATGCAATAGCGAAAATCAGACCTGAAAAAAAACAGGCCTGTACGGGATTCGAACCACTGACCTCTGCGATACTAGTGCAGCGCTCTACCAATTGAGCTAACAAGCCAACTGGGAGCAGGCCGTTAAATTGATTCGTAATGAACCTGTGATGATAAATCAGATACAACTTCATATATTCATTGTATCTAGAAAGAATATTAACCCAATCATAGTTAAGGCCTAGACATTTCTTTCGTCAAGGGAGGAGAGGATAATTTTTCTATGTTAGTTACAGATTTGTCTGGTTAGTTGCAATTTTCTTGAATTTGTAAAATACGTTTGAACCCGGGACTCAGTTTCATGAGTTATACACTTTTCGACCTAAAAGAAAATATACTATTTTCTTTCGAAAAGCGTCAGATTTTCACAAACACACAGATCTTGGTAAAACGAAGCTGTTCGTCTGTTCCTGAAGATTTTGAACGTCCAGTTCTTTGTTGACAATGCTATTTATTTCTGATCATTCTAGGTATTATTCCTTGAACAGAAGTTTGGAAAAGATATTCATGCATAGTTAGATAATTTCGCCTTTTTTCCATCTTTGTTTCAGCTCTTCTTTCCTTCCGCATTCAGCACCATGACTACGGAATTTGAAAGCTGAAAAATTTACTCGAATCTATCATTCTCTCTGAAAATTGAAAAACAAATTCGCATTCATGAATACTTCCTCAGATGTACGTGATATACGGGAAATGCATTTGTCTCCGGTCTGTCAATATTGATCCTATCAAGCGATAGCAATGCGTCATTCATTTGCTTTCTGTCTCTGTCTTTTATTTCCCCTTGCGAAAGTGAGATTCACTATTTCAAGTGGCGAGTGCTGAAATAATCGCATAAACTTACTGCAGCAATGTTCGAAAGGGGAACGGGAGGGAACTCAAAAGAAAGGTAATGTGCTTTATGAAAACAAGGTGTTTTATTCTAAATAAGTTCTTAAAATTCGAACGTGCCTTTTGGGAAGCCTCGCCAATCTGCACTTGCATGATTTCTTTTATTTCTTTGGCGACAAAACAAACTGCAGCACAGATCACCGCCGGCAGGGAAGAGTAAAAGGCATCAGCCGGGGAAGTAGACCAACTCTTAAAAAGAATTTGAGACTGGACTTCTCTTGTTATGGTTGTCTATTTTGTTCCATTTCCGTTCTATAACATCATATTTGACAAAGTGAAATTTGCGATTCATTGTGGAGTGGAACTGTTAATTGATATTGTTTTTCACTTTCATTGACGCACTGACAGATCGCACTGTTCAGCCTAAAGCACGTTTGTTAATCAATATCTGGTTTTAGGAAGAATATTTCTTAATAATACGCGTTAACGATAACAGCTTTGATCGTAAGAATGCTTGGGAAATTCTGGCGGAATCAAATTTGTGAGTAGTTTGTGACGTTTCCCCAGGTGGTGAAGGTAAATGAAATGAGCAATAAGCCAAGGGAGGAAAACGACATCGTGTACAATCGGTAGCCATCTCTAAGACGTTTTATCATAAAAACCCCAACGACTGGCTCGTCAAAAAAGTAAGACGCAAGAATATACCTTTAAAACCGTTCACACGAAACCACTGTTTAACTGAACACCTGCGAGGAGCTTTTATTATTTGATTTTCCATAATTAATACATTCTGCGGCCAATAGAATTCCCCTCATGATATAAACATCCTTCACATGAAACAGCCTCTCGATTCATTTCAATTCTGCGAGACGAAATTACTGTTGAAACGGTGTCTATCTTTTTTAACTTAGTTCCTCACTGAAGTAACTCGGCTCGGTTACTATCGAGTCAGTATCATTAACTTGATTGAGATCGTTTTCATCCTATTGAAAACTGAATAAAGAGAACTTTTCAGTATGTTTGCTGTTGAAATTGTCGCTGATTATGATGATTATATCTTTCTCAAGCTCCTGAGATTACCGTGCCGATGATGAATAACTCCAACGAATCAACCGTCCCTGACGAAGAGGATCCCGACTTCGAAATAGAAATGGATGACGTCGCAAAGATAGTCACCATTAGTGCATACGCGATCATCTTCCTGCTTTCATTCCTGGGTAATTCATTCGTCATCCACATTGTGCGCACTCGTGTGAGCATTCGGCGCAACCCCTTTAACTGGCTCTTAGTCAACACTGCTGTAGCTGATCTTTTGAATGTGACCACAGCCTCTGCCCTCACGGTGCCATTCATCTTGTGTGACAACCGATGGATATCAGGCGTACTAGGCGCGATCCTGTGCAAGTTGACGGCGTATTTGTTACCGGTTTCCATCTGTGTTTCAATCTGGAGCCTCGCCATCATTGCTATCGATCGATATCTAGCTATTGTGGGCACAGATTGGAGGAGTAATAGGGAGCCAATGTCGCACAGGTCTGTGAAAAAGTCCATCGTTGCCGTGTGGCTATCCGCAGGCTTCATATTTAGTGGGGAACTTTACAAGTTTACGGTAGACGTGGAGGAGGGGGAAAACGCTGAATGCCATCACCAGTGGCACCGTTTGAGGCCTGAGCTTTCGGATTTTCTTTATCGAGTTGAAATGATCGTCAGATTCGTCATCAACTATGCTGTTCCACTACTCATCATTTCAGTCCTGTACTCATTGATAGCCAGATTCCTCTGGACACACAAGCCACCGGGAAATGCCACATTACAAGTGCATGTCAAGCGAACAAGAAAACACCGTGCGGTCATCAAGATGCTGGTTACAGCTGTTGTCGTTTTCGCCCTTTGCTGGCTTCCCGTTCATATCGCTCACATAATGGAACAATTTTACACTGATATCTACTACACGATTCCCCTGAGTACCCTGGTGATTATGTACTGGCTGGCGCATGCTAATGCTGCAATCCATCCCTGGTTGTTCATTTCCTTTGGCGAGAACTTACGAATGGAGACGAAAGGAATACTCCGGCATCTTAGCAGCAGAAGCACCAATGTTTTTGACCAGTTCAGTAAACGAACATTTTCCCTACCAACACTGTCTAGTGATCCAAGTATGGCTCGCGGGGCCAACACAACAAAACGCGATTCGTTCGTCGCTATAAACGCCGTTTGATTTTAATTTCTTTCGTAAAGTCACGGTCTGCTTGATAAATTGAGAGCCATGACATATCACAGACGCTCTGTTCATCATCCTAGCTACGGATTTTTTTCCAAAGTTTAGTTGACAGAGTTTGGATTTTTTTCGATAAGTAAACTCACATTTAAATTGGTTTTTACTACATCCGCATGAAAACTGAAGGGAGTAGGGTTACATCTAATTTTTCTGCGATGACTAATTCATTTAAAATTGTCTCTAATAGTACTTGCATTAGAAACAGGCATACATGAAGTACGTAGCTTAAAAGCTGGCTTTGGGCTCACCAATGTTTATTTCTTGATTTCTGTAAGGTGAAATGCTACCCTCCTGGTGGCATACTCTTTACATCAAATAACCAAAACATTTTGTCGATATCAGGATGTGCAATAACTGCAATGCTAAAATAGATTTTGTCACTGTGTAATAGAAATTGATCGGACACATTCATTCATATGTAGGATAACACCACATGGTTTTAGATATACAACCGAAACTAATGTATTAACTGTGCGTCATAGGATTACTGAGTTCAAAACGCCTTTAGAGCAAGTATCCATGCTTTGAGTAAAAAGTGTCTCAAAAGTATTCATTATGACAACCTCTTCTCCATTTCTTTACAGGGAGCACAAAGCTATACCAAGAACCTTTTCGGTAACCTTCATACTAAATTCTTTTCACTTTATTTCGGAAGTGCTATAAGGGTCTACCCTTATTACGCATCACTGATTGCCAAAGATATACTTCCCGTCGATCGTGACTTTCAGAAAACTGGTCCTGAAACTTTCTGTAGGTATTTAAAGTGCACATGTTTTTCCGCTATAGTTGCACTCTCTGCGAAGAACATCTCCTAAGTATTCCACTTTAGGTACTCTCCATCACCCCATAGCCCAAGTAAGCATCAGAGAGCACACCTTGATGTCACAATAGGCGTGAACATCGTGAACAGTCGTGGATATCAGGTATCCTTATGGTCGTGTTAGCATTCAGCTGAAGAAGGCTGGAAAAAAAGCAAATGTGTTTTTCACTTTGGGTGAGAATGTGTCTTTGAATGAATTCCTTATTTATATTGCGCCCTTTCTATACAATATTCAAAGGCGCAGTACCCCCCATCAATTTGATAGACACTACACAAAGATAGACCTCAACACCGGGCACTACGTGCCCTACTCTTTTCTAACAGTGTGTGGGTTCTTTAACGTCCCACAAATTCTTTACTACACAAGTAAGAATACTGAGAAAACACTGGGAGAAATCTTCTACTAGGAGACACCTAGGGGCAGGTAAAGATAAACCATATGTAAGCTGCGATGACCAAGTAAATAACCTGAAATCTTGGACTCTTGACCCTGTTTTTCTGAATCTCTAAACGATAAAATCGAACAACTAATGTCAGTTTACGCCACTAAAGGAAAATTCGGCTGAGTAAGTGCACTTTTGAATTGAATGTTTGATGTTTACTTCACAAAGAAAACTTGTCAACGACATTTTTCGAGCAAGACTTTCTTTGACTAAGCAATAGAACACATTTTCCGAGTTGTTTCGCGTTCTATATATTGCTTATATGACAAAACTAGTTCCATGCGGGCTCTTCAACCGACCTGATAAAGCATTCGCTTGGAAACTGAACTGATCAATGATTCGATGCGTAATATGCTCATGTAGCGTGACTTTTTAAGGACAACTACCTTCGTACTTATCGTCCAAAACTGACCAAGGACAATCTGGTGGACGAGGAATGCTAAGATTGCAACGGGTAGTTTCCTAATGCTGACAAAAAATGGGCAGAAGCTACATTTGGAAATTTGATTGAGTTTCTCTGTTCAAAAAAAAATTTGGAAAGAAATTCTTTTGTCAAGAAAAATCGTCGAAGAAATTCTAAGAGCTTGCTTGAGAGGCATTAGGTTAGAGCAGTGTTTCATCGAGTTAATTACCTTGAATGTAGAAGCTTTCTCTGAGAGAGAGCTGTGCCGTTCTAAAGGTACCACAACTGAGGGAGCTAGTAGCCGTTTCCGGATATAGCGGATGGCTTTTATTGACTTCCACGTCTCTTTCTTACGCATGAAGTTCTTCCGAATCTAAAACAAAAACATGTTCGTTGTATGATGCTATAATGTAAGGTCTATTTATTAGCCCAGACGAACTGTTTTGACTGTGATTTGCGCAGACATGAGGTTCACGTAACGTTATCTTCGGAGATCTCATCAAAAGTTAATGATTTCAAACAACATTTCTGCTTTTAGTCGAATAATATTTTGTCAATTATTTAATGTAATTGATAATAAGAGATGTTTTGAGAATTTCTTGGTAAGAAAAAGAAAACTTGTTCAAAGCTTTGAAGGGGATATGATGATCCGAAACAGGAACACGGTAAAATCACTTTATAGTTCTAAATGTATATTTAGTTGAAACGACATTACATACCTCCGAATTAAACAGACAGTGGAGGAGAAAAATGAAAAAGCCCTGCAAAAGACAAGACAGAATTTATCTCTATGACTACCCGGCATTCTAACAAAGCGCGGGGTTCCGGTCAAGTGAATGCAAAACTGATAAGGTTTCCTTTGTTTGATTTTACCCGGGGGACGCATATAACAATGACATTTGCACGCATGAAAATACCGATGTTTATGTAGAAACCTCGGAAACGGAACATCAACTGCTGTATGTTCAACGTTGACCACACAGTAACAATTGTGTTTGAAATGGCGACGAGAGAGATTCGCTACAAAGGAATGAAGAAGTTAACTCCATTATTAAGATCTGAGATGACAGGTCATATCAGACTGCTCACATCTGGGCACAAACGAAGTTCTTAAGCGGAGGGGACCAAGCAGCTATTCACGATTTGACAAAAAGTCGAAAGGTAAGACCCGTTCTCTCTCGAACTCGCACATTTCCTTTAAACCTAGAAAAAAATTATCACTTTCACGTATTTCATTGATTGTTTTTCTGTCGCCCGTTTCTGTTATAAGTGAAATCTTACTGTTAGTGATAAAACGCTTTCAGACTAAATGTACGAAGTATTATGAACGAAAATACGCCATTTTGCGCACTATTCACGCACGTTTTACGCGCACGACATTAATATACACGTATTCTTTGCGTGCGCGATTACGCGTGTATGCTTTCGTGGATATGGCAAGTATACTGCACATGTTTTATTGTAACAGCTGTTATCTTGGAAGCGTTTCGATGCTGTTTTCGTAAAATGATGAACTCCTTCTAAGATGTGATCGTTATGAGTTTGATTTTTTGAAAAAAGAGAAAGAGTACCTGCATTGTGTTAGAAATAGCGAAAAGATACTGAAATTCAACACTATGAGTTGCAAACACCAGCAGTCCAAATAACCAAGTCACTCCAAGAAGAGGAATGAGTACCACCAATGACTTTAGTGTAGATCTGAAACATAGAATAAAATGTGTTTTTCAGCGAAGTCGGTAGCCTTGTAATCAAACCGGTGTCCAATAAAGGCCGGTTTTATTCACTTAACTGAACAGAATTAGAATGTAAAGACTTTACCGAACGATATCGCTCATACAAGTTCTTCCAGTCGTGTGAAGACGACAAATTTCATGTAAAACCAAACCCAAGATCACAATGTTCGCCTAAAAAATAATAATTCAAAACATTAATTAAAAGCAGAGAGTTTTTCTGAGAAAATAATCATCGTACCGTGCCTATATTTTAATAAACTTCGCTACAAAAACCTTACCAAAGTAGTAACAGCTACAGGAATGATAAAGGCCAACAAAGTGTTTCGTTTGGGTGAAATCCAGCAACTGAATAAATAGAACGATCACATCTTCAGTTATGACAGGCAACATACTGCTACTGGGAAAATAATGAATGCCGCCACAACTTTTTAAAACTCTTATATACCTTGTTTTTGTGCCATAGTCGGAGTAACTACAAGCAGCTGTTATGAGAACGAGCAACGCCGGAATCCCTTTTAGAAGAAAAAAATGTTGGCGAGAAAAAGTAGATTAATAACAGCTTGAGGTCATAATGTTCATATCATTGACCGAGAGAGACATAAAGGAATGAGCTGGACAAAAAGATTCGACCATTGACTGTGGTACAACTTGTTATAATAATAAAAAAGAACCCGTCCAATGCAAGCGTAAAATAAATAAAGGGGGTCAGTTTTCAGTAAAGAAATTGTGGTGCTGTCCCCGTGGAGTGGAGTCCATCGCTCGAAACATTAGCTTTAGAAACTTCTTGCGCTGGCCAGTTTACATCATCGACACAGCCGGATGAAATCAAATTACCTTGCAATACAAGTATAATTTTAAGTGCCCCTTAAGTTTTAGTGCGAAGATTTCTGACATTCGTCCGAAACACTAAAATTATGATAGACTCTCAAACGCAAATTGAAATCGCTTACCCCAAGCTAACACAATATAGTGATAAATTTTAGAAGACAAATTGAAGACTTTCACCACCATGGTGTAAAGATGAAGTCCTTCGCAAAGCATCCAACCAAACGATACCAAGTAAAAATAATGAAGCATGATCGCCGTGAATCTACACTGGAACTAGGGTTGCAAAGAGGAGAAAGACAACATTGCGAGGCTCATTCCTGTACTTAGGAACCAGTCATGATTTACCACCTGGGGAGGGAGGGGTCGGAGGATTGGAGGGAGGGGTGGGGATAACAGAAGGGAACGGAGGGTGGATCAGTAGGTGCCAACAGAGCATAAAGAGAAAAGAGAATTGAAAAAGAAATAGAAAATTGACTGTCAAATAACTGCCAATGATGGGGAATCACAAGATTATTAGAGAGCCTTATGAGGATATCTGGTAAATTTCATCGTGACACAACTTAAATCCTCCAGCCCCGGCAGGTGATAAACAATGATCTGTCCATTATTCGATAACGAAACTCTTTGTTACTAGGATTCCATCCTTATAAACCGCTACCGATGTCTGTGTTTTAATTAGTTTTTTTTTTTTTCCCTTTTTCTTCTTTTCGTTCTTTAAAGACTTATCACGATTTTTTCAGCTTTTAAATCGTTTCGTATGAACTGTGACCCGGCTTGGTTGAGATCACGATTATTAAGTATTAATTAATCATTTTTACTCTTTCGTTTCGTTTGAACGAGTGAGAACCATTGGCAGTACGTAAAATCAGTAGATAGAATACGGTTTTAAAGTTCCGTAACTACTTTTCAAACCTCGTTTTCGGTCTGCTCTATTCCAAACAAAAATATGGTCTGGGAAATAGCAATGGAGACCAGCAAGTTTCCATGAATGATGTGTCGGTCTGTGTTCAACTGGCTGCAAAATTAAAGCAAAGGAATGTTAGGAAACAGGCCCTTCCTCATCACAATCGCAAGGTTTTGCACAAAATCCAAGCCAAAAGATTTTTTATGTTTAGCTATGTCGTTAAGCTTTGTCCGAGCCTGAGTTTGGTTGAACTTGAAACTTACGTGAAAACAGCAAACGACGTAATGGCACCAACAGCTCCAAATAAGGATAAAATGCAACCAACGTAAGTAATTATACCCAAAGCAAATTTGTCAGCTTTTGACACCTGCGAAAATAAAGCGAGTAAAATCCAAACTGGGTCAGCTCAATAAATCATCCAAGCATTCACTAACGTCTTGAAGTGTGACAACATTAAAAAATATCGATTTTGTAGGTAACTGTCTCATTTCTATAAGTGAGGGTGAAGCGATAGTACAGCTAAAGAAGGGGAGAATCTCAAAATCTTGTCCTGGGGGCATAAGCCACTATAACGGCCCTATTGAACATAAATTGATTTTCAACAATTTTCTTTTCGTGGGGGAGAGGAGAAGAGAGGGAAGAGGAAGGGGAGGGAGGGGAAGGGAAGGAAGTGGCCATATCCCCTGACCCCATACCATGATAACCAATTCAAACACGACCATCTGTTAAAGCCGAGTGCGTTATGAAACAAAGCAGTCAACACAAGCTAATTTTTAAAAGAACAAGGACGAGTTTCGAGTTATAGGATGAGACACTTGCCAAATATTCTCCAGATCCCATCAGAACAGCAAAGTTGGTGAGATGACCACAGGCGCACACTGTGTGTGTCCTGTTGGACTTTTCTGTATCTACGTGACAACCGTCACGTGACCAAGCTCCGTTACCATGAATCGTGCTGAAGGAAATTTTAAACAAGGTGATAAGGATTTTGAAAATTCGATTCAAAAGCCCCATTACAATATGGCCTAGTAATGGAACTCAGCGTGATTTTGGGGGACTCCTATGATTAACTTTGAACAATTTTAAGAGATGACATCACTTTTTTCTATAATAAAAATTAACACGAGCACTTAACCTGTTAAAAATAAGTCATGAGTGTAGATGGCATCGGGTATCGGTATCGAAACAATTAAAACGTTTTTAAGTAAGCTGCCATTCAGATTCAAACGAACAATACAGGAACCCTGTGTATAGACCTAATAGTTCAATCAGCTTTATAATCGGCGAAGGTACATGTACACTTACTGTTTTGAAAAATTCCAAAAGGCGCAATATGTATACTCGTTGTCATCAAGAGCCTGAAAAAAAGGAAGTGGAGCGTCAACTGCTAGAAATGAAGATAAACTCGGTGGATTTTCAGAACTTCTAAATTCGTAAGCATCATTAAGCATGTACTGAGTTTCACGCGATTATACCAGACATATCATTTACCTTCAGATGTTCCATCATGATGAGTATATTTCTTTGGTAGTTGTGTTTCACCGGGACACATAGCGACATGGATATCACGTGGCTATTCAGCCTAAGAGTTTCATTGGTGTCGCTCCTGAAATAATAACAGTTACAGATAGACTTATGTCATGTATACAGTAACAGCTTCTCTACTTTATTGTTTGGTTGTTACAAGGCGACTTTGTCAGCAGCAAACCTGGCTGTGTTATTTTATATTGGACTATATTACTTTGAGAAAAACGTCTCCTTTTTTAAAACATCAATTATAAACTTCTTGAGCAAATTGCCGTGAAGACTAAGGCCCAGTTCAGACGCCGCACTTCAGCTGTGCCGAATCGAATTCAACTTTAGGCCGACCTAAATTATTTAATCCTGGCTAAATTGATTCAGACGCCGAACTTATTTCGGCCGAAATTTCATGAATTAACTGAAGAAAATTTGCGGCCGAGGCCGGCGCAGTTCAGAATAACAAATTTGATAAGTGTTATATAGGACGAAAGCTATTTGTATGGCATGGTCGTTGTAAGCAAGTTTTAAGTATTTTATTTGGTCACTTCTATGAAGAAGTACCTAAATAAAGTCCGGCAGTCGATCAGTAAACGTTTCGGCGCGACCAAATATACTTGCTTAAAATGTGAAATTTGATTATACAATAAATGTTCAATTTTTGAAGAAAAACAAAGATTACCATGCCAGTAAAAGCGTCGCTTTTTGTGAGCGATACACAAAAGAGGCGGGAGAGGACGTTACTGACGCAGAGGACAACTACATAAAGCCCAAACAACCGACAGAGCGACGAATCAGTGACAGTTCGAGAGGCGTAGAATAGGCGCCCATTCAATAACTGTCAGCATCGTTTTGCTAAGCTCTTCAAGCCGCCATTTTTCTTCTGCAGCACTCCTTTGCACATGCTCACATGTAAAAACGGCAGGGAAAATACATTGAAATAATATATGCATTTGATTCGGCTCATGTGAAGTACGGCGTCTGAATCAAAGTCGGTCTACAGCCATTCTTCCCAGCTGAGTCAGGCGCGATTAATTGACCGAGCCGATCTAAATTCAATCACCCATTCCAAATTGATTCAGACGCCGTACTTCACATGAACTGAATTTGTTGAATTCGATTCGGTTTGGCTGAAGTACGGCGTCTAAACCGGGCCTAACACTCAAGTTCCGGCAAAAATGAGTAAATACTTACAGTCGCACGGGTACCATAGCATGTAATTTTGAGTACAGCGCACCAACCGAACGACAGGGATCTAAACAAAAGTCAGAGACCAAAGGATCTCTATTTTCTAGCGTTGAACTCTCACAATTTTCACAGTCTTGCTAATTAAACAGAGAAAGTTCAGGAAGTATTTGAGGAACATAAGGTAGAATCATAAATGCAAAGAGGTGATGTAGTTTATAATCTCTTGTAAATGTCTGTGCATTTCACGGTCAGGCTATCCTGCAGTTAGCGCGTGTTTGCTTATTATATGGTAATTTTGGTTTTATTAACTGAGTTGATAATGTAAATTAACCACCGTAAAGAGATTTAAAGCTGATGTTTCGTGGGTTAGCCTTCTGTCAGAGCGAATACCTATTATATGGTTTGTTGGATAATGAGGAGCCGCTCAAAGCGCTTTGATAGTCAAGGGATACATACTGTAAACTTAAACTATTAACCCTTTTCCCCCTAAGAGTGATTAGCATCAAAATTCTCCTTACATTATCTCCCTTGAATCACACATTAAGGTCATGAGAACAAAGGAAATGATCACCAACCAAGGAAGCTCTTGATTGTTGAACAAGTTCTCTTTGTCAGGACCTTAAGAAATATATATATATAGCGAGAGAGAGAACGGCATGGAAAAAAGGCTTACTGATCTCAGGGTAGAAAGGGCACCTACATTTGTCTTCAGAAAACAGTTTCCTGGGTAATCGTATCTGGTCAGTAAGTCCATCCCAATGCGTCTGGTTTTGCAGATAGCGAAATATGTACTCCCCGTTGATGTTGACACTTTCAAACACTAAAATATGACGAAAATCGTATCAATTTATCATGAAGAAGGCGAGAACTCTTTATTTCCCTTTTCTATATTTATGTTTATTATCATATCGCCAAAAAATCGAACTCAAACGAGAAAACGATTAACCACCAAGGAGATAAGCATTTGTTAAAACCAATCTATTCATTTTTTGATACCATTTAAACGCTGATAAAATCACGGCCAACGTCAACTTTTGGTAAACTATCTTGCTTTCCTAGTTGTCAAGTTTTCTAACATTTTGATCTATAAAATTTTAACTGATTCTAATATTTTCATTTTATTTCCTGAAAAATCTTTCCATAATTACAAAAGGCTTGGTTACCGCCGCCTGGTTAGCTCAATTGGGAGAGCGCCGGACTGCTGTGCGGGAGGTCGAGAGTTCAATACCGGCCGCACCAACACTCAGGGTCTTAAAATTAACTGAGAAGAATATGCTTCCTTTCTTTAACATCAAGAAATGGTTAGATATTCTAGTCTTCTCGGATAGGGACGAATAAAACCGTAGGCCCGTCTCTTACAGGGTTAGGGGCAGGAGACGTTAATTTCCCACGCACGAGATTACTGTGTGATGGATGTCCTCCCCTGGGGTGGGATGGGTGGGTAACAGCGCTTTGGACAATTAGTGGATTTTAGCGCTATATAAATAAAATTATTATTATTATTATTGTTACGTTTACTTACGAAAACTCTCGGTAAATATTCGAATAATTTCGCTGCTATTCTTCAGACGTTTTTGGGCCTCCCTCCAAAGGTCGTCTAGTATTGATACGATCTTAAAAGCGTTGAAAGAAGAAGAACTGTTCCTTTGAAAAGTCAAGCTTCCAAGCACGTCGTCGGCATCTTTAGCCGCTGCCTACACGGAATGAAATACAATAGCGTATTGCCGCATGTAATTTGTACAAATAAGTTTCTCGAATATGAACCGCTTTTCGATTGAGCGTTGTCAAACTTCCGACCAAAGAAAGGAAAATAACTTAAAAAGCCAAGGGGTAGAGGAAAAAAAGCATAGTTCGTAAATGGCGAAAAAACGCTAAATCGAGATTGGCTTTCTACATTGCATCTATTCAGTTGAGAAGATGACGCGAGGCTTTCGGACCAAAGAAAACGTAGTGCTATCCTAGACTACCTTCTGCATTAAATTGAAAATCGTAGTATCAGATCCAGATCCGATGTGTGCGCACTTTCTAGACACAGCTGTCATTATCTTGTTATTTGATATTTATGATTTTAAGTGGCTCTGTTTTACAAATACAATAAGGCCTAGCCCAGTCATTGCTTCTAAAATACTTCTTATTCAAGAGAGAAATCCGGCTGAACCGATCAGAAGGATTTTGAAAGTATGGGATGCTGGAGATTTGTATCGCGTTGTTTAGACAAGGAAGAATATAATGTAACACACCTGTAAAATATCCAGTATCGAAGCAGTTGTATTTCTCTGCATGCTTTCCTGAAGCTGCTCAGCTTCGTTCTCGAAACACTTAACCTTTGGGGAAAATTATCTGCTGGTTTTCATGTTTACAACAGAATATGGAGAACTTTATTCCCCTGCGGTTGGCAAGTATTTCAAGTTTCGCAAGATAGGAAAATCCACTTCAGTCAATCAGATGGAGCAACACGCACACGCGCACACATACAAACACACACACACAAAGGAAACAGTGGACTTTTGAGTCTAAGGTGGACATGCCGTTTTCTGTGGTCACTAGGCGTCTTTCTTAAAGTTTTACCTCAGAATTTCGAAATTATTCCGTCAATCGTAATTAAAGTCCAATTCATGAACCATCTTTGTCGATTGTTAATTTTTGGAATCGCTACCTTTTCCTCTAGGGCCTCCGACCCACAGTGTTTCGTTTTTGTAGGTTCAACAGTTAGGTGAGAATTCTCTGACTCTAAAGAAGAGAAAAAGAAGCAAATTTTCCATGAGACAATTTAGACAATTGATTCCACTTTTGCTGCGGATTACAGTGATTATTGACGTTGGAATTAAAAATAGAGAAAATCTAGCCGATGAAGATTACCGTTAGGCAAATGTCCGTAGTTTAGATAATCGTCAATGATAATAATGGTGATGATGATGCTGATTACATTTATGATAAATTTCATTAACCGAGATAACTATAATAAAGTTGTTATTCATTATTAAGCGATGTTTTGGAGGTCAAAAGTACATAGGACCCTAATGAATGCTAAAAAATTGCCAAAATATATCTTAAGGTGATTCCTCAGTATTGCACTGCGCATCCTGTACTGCGCATAAAAATCACCTAATCAGGCGAATAAACGCACGCATTCCAAGAAGACCGTAATGTTCTTCAGTCAATGAAGTACGTTGGTCTTTAGCTCTTGAAAGAGCACGGCGACCTGTCATTTTCTATTGCATAATTTTGGGAACGTTTTGAACGTTTTGAATCGATGTCGTTTGAAATTGCGTAATTTTTCCACAACGCTCGAGACTTCTTACCCATCAAGTTTTTTTTTCAAGTGTTACTTTAAAAACCCTTACTTCCAGCGACCGCGAATGTGTCGTGAACCGATGAAACGATGCTCGTGATTAGAGCCACTTTTAGCATAAATGGGGTGGTTTTTCCTATTAAATCGCTTAAACAGGCACTGTGACCTACCTTTTTTATTATATTTTTCAACATTGGTAGGGAACATTTAAGGAAAATAAAAAAAATTGTTCGATAACTTTTTGAGGAATCACCTTAAGTTAATTAATTGTACATTCAAATTGAAATTCTGATGATTGAGCTGCTACATGTAGCAGTTTACGCTCTAGAGGACATTTCTCAGGCACACTGACACTTCTCGGTGATTATCGTTTGCATTACTTTTGTAGGAGACATCGGATAAAATTTGTTTTCAAGACAGTTTTTGAAGCTCATCGATGCTATGAAGTATTTCCTTTACCAGTAAATGAATATGAATTCACTGCTTGTGTTGGCATCGTTGTTGACTCCAGACTCCTGAACCTTGAGGATATCGTAGCAGGAGGAGTGATTGAACTGTTACTAAGTGAAGCGATTTGAGCTGAAAAAAAAAAACAGTTTATTGTTATCTTCGGAACATATAATGTTTTTTCCTTATTGACACGTAAGATAATTTCTGTAGCTTCCAGAAAAGTAGTACCATATATACAGGTGCTGTTGAAGTCCTAAATGTAATAATTTTCCTAAATGTAATAACATTTGGTCCTAATTGTAATAAGCCTCCAATGCGATCGTTCGACTGCGCTAATACATTGTTGTTATAGCGGACATCCACATTAAGGTGTTAAAGTGACAGCTGTTGGACCAAAAATTCATCTGTCCAGTATTCATCTCACATTGCGGGCTCGCTGATATCAACCAGCATCTTTTTACTTACTCATCGCTAGTCGAGTAGCATTGGCTGGAGACCCTTATACTGACAGCATCTAATGACAGCTGGCAAAACAATGAGTACGCTGGCCAATACCTCCATATATCACTGACTCAGACTCTTAAGTACAATAGGTTTTGGAAAAATGTGATAACGTCATACTTGTGTGATCAGTGATGGAGGTACAAGTCATAAAACCAAATTAAGAACTTGGACAAGGAGGTCTGCAGACTTGCGGGCTTGGATATAAATATTTTGTTTTATTTTATTTTTAGACCAGACCTTGTTAGCATGCACATTTTGTTTCCCAATTCGGACCTCGTGACAGCTCTCCAGAAAGTTATTGTTTTCAAATTGACGAATATTTTCGTGGCCATATGAATAGCGACGAGGTTATTTTCTCCCCTAGACTTTTCTCTTGATCTTGAAATGCATGCAACAAATCCAACAAAGAAAAAAGGTACTGCGAGGATCTGAATCAAATTATATACTCAGTGACTTACATTTAACAGGTGTAAATGAAAAGAAGCTGCTGACCAGCACATTCAAAATAGTTATCTATGTCAAAGGTTGTTAATGATGTACCGACCCCCAAAAACTCACGCAAAATTTTCAACGAAAACATAGAGAATCAACAGCTGTTGCCAAATAGGTACAAGAAAATTTATAGAAGTCTGTAAAAGGAATTAAAAGAAGGGAAAAGAAAAACTGGAGACTTTTCAAACGCAAAGCTTATTCAAATACTTTATCCTACTGTTTAAAGCTTAACTATCAATATGGCTCTGCGCTTCTAAAACACAGTGACTTACTCGCTTGCGTGGTTGATTGTAACTTTTGAACAATGTCTGCGACGAAGTCGCAGAGAGCGGTAGAAGGGCTAGACAGTCAAAACAAAGAAAAAAGTTTGAACGACCCTCTTGGGTTTATTGTGCTACAAACGCAGTCGGCTCTCCTCGATTTTCAAAATAAATAATTTATTCTTGATTCTTATTAGAGCGAAATCTTTTTGCTTTATATTAAATCCTTCATTGACTAAGCCAAAGATAAAATCTATCTTACTTCGAAGTCGTTTACCGTCGTTTCTTTCAATTTTGGCTAATTTTCTCACGCTGAAATTATCATACACACTCAATAGAATATATAATTTCAACTG